TCCGAGTTGATGCACAACGACAAGAAAACATTATTTTAAATATTGCGTTTATGACTATGTAGATGAAAATGATTTTTATATTATGTTTTCTTTCTTATTCATGTAAGACTAAACATTTTTCTCGACGTAGTCCTTTAGGACATTGAAAAGAATTTAAAATCAAATATGGTAAACATAATGGATTTGTTAACTACACGTTTCTGTTTCAAGCAGACAAGAAATTAGTTCAATTAATTAATTTTCTTGTGCTCAAGAATTCAAAGAATTCAAATGTTTGAAATCTTTAATCCCGTGCCCTCAGCCAGACCATTTAAATAATTCAAAGAATTCAAAGAATTCAATTGTTTGAATTCTTTGAATTCTTGGGGAGGCCCAAGAATTCAAAGAATTCAATTAATTGAATTCTTTGAATTCTTGGGCCTCCCCAAGAATTCAAAGAATTCAAATGTTTGACATCTTTAATCCCGTGCCCTCAGCCAGACCATTTAAATAATTCAAAGAATTCAAAGAATTCAAAGAATTCAATTGTTTGAATTCTTTGAATTCTTGGGGAGGCCCAAGAATTCAAAGAATTCAAATAATTGAATTCTTTGAATTCTTGGGCCTCCCCAAGAATTAAAATATTTGAAATCTTTAATCCCGTGCCCTCAGCCAGACCATTTAAATAATTCAAAGAATTCAAAGAATTCAAAGAATTCAATTGTTTGAATTATTTGAATTCTTGGGGAGGCCCAAGAATTCAAAGAATTCAAATATTTGAATTCTTTGAATTCTTGGGCCTCCCCAAGAATTCAAAGAAATCAAATATTTGAATTCTTTCAATTCTTTAGATTCTTTGAATTATTTAAATGGTCTGGCTTAGGGAACGGAATTCAAAGAATTCAATTATTTGAATTCTTTGAATTCTTTAGATTCTTTGAATTATTTAAATGGTCTGGCTGAGGGCACGGAATTCAAAGAATTCAATTATTTGAATTCTTTGAATTCTTGGGCCTCCCCAAGAATTCAAAGAATTCAAATATTTGAAATAATTGAATTCTTGAGCCCACTCAATTTACTCAATTATTTAAATTATTCTTATAATTAATATATAAAGAAAAAGCAGTGGCAACATAGTACATAAAGATCCCTCTCTCTCATATATATATATATATATGTACACGCGTTGCATATATACGTATGTATTATACTGATATATATATATATATGTATATATACTGTATAAAATATCATGTTAACGCGACGCGACCCGCCAGGTGGGGGGGGTCGGTGGGTGGCCCAGCCCAAACTGCCCCCTGCCCATGTCAGCCAAAAAGGTACACCTGCGGCCCAAGGCCTCGGCCTCGGCGGAAATATATATATATATATATACATATACATACGATTATATGTATATAGATGCATACACATAAATATATAATTATGTGTTTGTAAACGCATTTTGAATGCTTGCTTCAAAGCATATGAATCCTGTCCAAGTTGGCTTCAAACAAAGCATATTTGTTTAAACCCATCATGCGAGCATTGTGCTTGCAAAAGGGGGGGGGTGGGCTGCGGCCCTCCCCCCCAACCCCCCCCAACCCCCCCCAACCCCCCCGTTTTTTTGAGCTGTGCAAGCAAGCTTCTAAGCTGTGCAAGCTTGCTTCAAAGGATAGAGGTTTTTATGTTTTATTTTTTTCAACCCATCATTGCGAGCATTGTGTTTGCGAATGGGGGGGGGGGAGCGGCTGCGCCCCCCCCCCCCCCCCCCAACCCTCAAAATTAAGAAGGTTTCGAGCGAATTAATCGGTCTCTCTTGCTACAATCAATTACAGTCAATTAAAAGAACTCATATGAAAATGGTATGAGTCCTCTGAAAATATGCAGGATCCCATTAAATGATACAGGGAATAGAGGTCTGTTCGTAGAAACAGAGCCAAAAGTAAGGATTCGTGCAAACTAAATTCTAGTCTTACTAACACAACAAGGAATCCTATGAAGTATGAGGATCCTATTTAAAGGGGAAAGATGTTTTTCTTCGGGAAACATCCAAAACAAAAGGCAAAAAACCTAAACAAACCGCCCATACAAATTCCCTGTCAATTGGTACTGGAGCATCTCTACGAGGTCTCCGGCTAGAGGGCGCATCGGGACAATTCATTCAATTCGAGTGGTACTCAATTCGGTGCACAGCCACGACCTGCCTGGACAACCACCTTGGAAGCCAGGAACGTCATGAATTCCAATCGAGTGCAAACAAAGTCCCAGCGGTCGCAGTGTTTCCGCCACATGGGACACATCCGTTACTCAAAGTTGTCATATCCTCACATAATGAAAGAGCTGGCAAAGGATTTCGGATTCGTCAATCTCTTAGTCTTGGTGGCATTTGTCGCCTTCGTCAGCGCACGGTCAGGTGTTACGACCGCTCTAGCCTATTGTAATTCTCGAGGCGGTCAAACCGCATGGCTTGTTCATGGTTTCTGCTTTTTATCATGATCGGAGCTGGTTCACCTCACGCCGGAACAGTAAATAAATAGTCGACGCTGTCCTGTACTCTGTGATCAGGCAGGTTCACGAGGGCACACCGTGGTTGGACCCAAAACATGTATGAATGCACCAGCCAACAAGTTCAGACGCATGATCACCAAGTCTATTTTTCCGCCCAGACTGCAAAGTTCTGCAAAGTTCTGCAAAGCTTCGGAGTTGCTTGAATTTTTGCAAGCTAAGGCTTGCGTACAACGCGTCCTGAAGAAGGCAATGATTTCGGCGAAAGCAAGGATACCTATACGGCCACAGCAGCATAGCACAAGTTGAGGATGCCAAGTTCTTCAAAGCTGCAACCACGAGCATGAAGTATTGTTGCCTTGAGCCTTGTTGAAAAGCTGTTGCTGTGTTCCACTCCGGCCGTACATGGCCGGAATGTACTTAGATTGTTTCGTGATTTCTGCACAAGCTATTGACATCCGCTGAAGCTCTTGGCGCACGGACGAGCATGCGATACTTTCGCTGCCATGGCTCTCGTTGTGTCACTTGGTGCTGCCCGACTGAGACATGGAGACACTGTCGTGATTTCAGCTTCCGTTCTCTGCTCGAGCCAGTGCAGGCTGCGAGTCTCCAAATCAAGCATGGAAAATCAAATCGACTGCAGAGGATTTTCAAGGGTTATTTTTTTGCCTCAAGCCATTATCCTGACCGAGTGACCAAAGCTGCTGCATCGAGCTGCGCGATGTCGTGTGATCTTGTGAGTCAGAGCCTGACCGCTTGTTGCAACTGAGAAAGAGATGACCTTGCTGGCAGCCGAAGCAACCCGTAACCTTGGGATACTTTGGGGAGTGGAGACTCGGAGGTACCGCATCGTTCGGCATAATGGTGGTTTTGTACATTGCTGAATGGTGTGGTACCTTGCATACTTGTAGCTCCTTGCCCGGCTCGTTAACCAGGACATACCAGGACGGATGTGCCAGACCGCCCGAATTGTTGTGCTATACAGGCCTCCATGGCCTCGTGAACACAAGAAGCAGGTGGGCGAAACAACGCTGATTATTGCTGCTGCTGCTGCTGCTGCTGCTGCTGCTGCTGCTGCTGCTGCTGCTGCTGCTGCTGCATGCTGCTGCTGCTGCTGCTGCTGCATGCTGCTGCTGCTGCTGCTGCTGCTGCTGCTGCTGCTGCTGCTGCTGCTGCTGCTGCTGCTGCTGCTGCATGCTGAGCTGAAACCATGTGCTTTGGTCGGTATGGCCAAAGTCAGCAGAGTTTCAATCAGTTTGATGAACAATGGGGCGCAGTGGCTACAGCAAAGAGCTCCACGCAAGTGGATTGGACATGATAAGCATGTGCAAGGTTGCGTGAGGTGGCCGCCGAGACCGCAGTTCTTTCTAGCAATGTGCAAGAGGGAGGGGATGGGGCAGGATGTGCTGTAGCCGGGCGCCCGGCTAATTTCGAAGCTGGCCAGGCCGAGGCCAGACAACTGTGCTTATGCCTTGCGGGCAGGCACATGTCTTCCTCGACAGTGCCAGCTGCCTTGCAGCCGGGTAGCCGAAACTTGATGGAGGCAACTCGCACAAGCTTGACAGTTCACTCGGCCGCTCTCTTCCTGCACCTGGGTCTGTGAGTTTGGCTGAGGATGAAGCTGTGACCAAGCGACAGCCGAAGGTTCGAATTGCAAGGGATCAGCAACGTGTTCTGGCGAATGACTGCATGGCAGGACTTGGACTCGCCTTTACGCTCAGCTGTATCTGAAGCTTGGCCGCTGATGTCCTACACTAGTAAAGCTTGCAAAAATTGAAGCACAGAACACAAGACAGCCACGGGGAGAGTGCTCGTCATGCGATGAGAGTGCGTGCAGCAAACTTGCATGATTGTTGCATGCAATACCAATTGCAGCGGCTTTCAGAGTGCAGAGCAGAGCAAGAAGCAAATTAATTAAAGTGTTTTCTGTTGCTTTAGCCGTTGTTGTGAACGTTTCTTCCTTCAGGGCTGCGTTGATGACATGATGAGCAAGAGCAGAGAGCGGAGCTTTCGATTTGCTTCTTGCCGTTCTGTTCTATATAAACGAGTCCTTGTATCATGCTGTTCCCTTCCTCTTCTTCTGTTAAGCAAGTGCTCCCGAAACAAGGCATCTCACCCTCAGCTGGTGCAACGCCTGCTGCGTGGCCAAGCAGATGTGAACGGAAAGGACCCGCGCTGCATGTTTGCACATTAGCGCTACACGCAGGTAGCGCTAATGAAAAGGTGTCAGGCCACACTATTCCAAACGATCATTGTCTATCCGTCCAGCGGTGAGTCAAGCAGTGAGTCAAGCGGCCAGCGGCAAGACAGATATATGAAGATATGAAGCAGGGTTTACTGTTTTTTGTGAGTGTATATACGGTTCCTTTTTAATATTGGTGAGTGTATATGCTTGGTGTCCTTTTGGGGATACAAGAAATATAAACCCCACTTCATATCCTTTCCAATGTCAGGACTCTCAAGGGGTCACCCCGCTTCACGTAGCTGTGTTCCATGGGCGATCTCACATTGTGAACATGCTAGCGCTGAGCTTAGCAAAACCTGAGCTGGCGCTTGCACGCATCATGTGACTTGCTCTGCTCAGTTGAGCGCTACGGCTGATGCCAATGCACGTGATTGTCACGGCCAATCTCCAGTTCAAGCCTGAGTCCAGGGCAATAGCAGCTATAATAGCTACTGCCAGGCACTACCAGAAGCATGTTCAGAAGATTTCAGAAGGTCGGCAGGTCAAGGTGAAGCACTGTCAGCAAACGTCTGTCTATCCTGTCCAAGATCTTCTTTGCCCCTTCGCGGCAAATCTGCGAGACCCTTATGGCAAGGCCATGCCAGTTCGATGTGACGGTTTCAATAGTTTCCTGTAGAACTTGTGGGTTTTGAGTTCTGAGCCTCAGGGGCGCTGACTTGAGCGTGGTGAACATCAGAAATCAGACACCCCTTCATCTGCTAGCTCGAGCAGGACGAAGTTGCAGATTCCAGAAACGCCTAGCTTCTTGTTGTCAGCTTAGGACAGCATATAGGGTGTCCTTGTTAAATCGACCCAGCAGAAGAGCACCTAAGAAACACGTGGACGGCATGTGGACGGCAGCTTCCCCACACCATCTTGTCGAGAGGACCAAATAGGACCAAGCCGCACAACTGGTCACGTTTTCTTCTCGGCTCAGCGCTTCATAAGGCCGAAAAAGGCCGAGGAAACACAATGACATGGCAGGCGCAGTGCGTTCTCAACTTCACCGGTACTCGAGAAGCCTTGCAAAGAGCGGAGGCTGCATGTGCCAGAGCCTTTCCCTCCACCACGACCACTACCACAACAACACTCGTTCGCTCGATTATGCAACCATTCATTCGTTCCACAAGGGTCTGTCCCACGCCATGGCAAAGTCGGAAGGGTCCGAGTGAAACTATGTGAAACTAACCTACCTCGTGCGTTTGCAGTGGTTTTTAAGGATGCCTGGGATGCCTCGCTATGCCTCGCTCAAGCGTGCACACAGAGACCGACCTTTCTTGGATCTGCGAGTTGTGCCAGACGAATTGCATAGGAGGCACGGTTTTTCGATGCTTGCGTTCCTGCCTCGTGCGGGATGGGACTTGCAGAAACGGCCATCACGCTTCGCATCCAGAGATTTCTTGAGCGTGCCACGGGAAAAAGCGCAGCGGGCATCTCCGAGTTCGGATTGTGTTCGATCTTGAGCTAAGATTGTGAGCAATCTGTGAACCACGAATCCGTACGGAAAAGCCTCTGAAGGACGGATATCCCAAAGCAGATCTCCGGGTTTCGGAGTTGTCGTCTCGAAAGAAATCGAGCATTTCCGAGTTAGGGCTGTTCCAAGTTCACCGATGGCACCAGCGGGCAGCAACTCTCGACAAGTACAACTGTAATCCTGTGCATCTCACCCCCCAACAAGAATCCGCGCAAGAAGTCACCAAGAAGTGCCGAAACTAGCGTTTTACCCAGGGCCGCTAGCACCCACGTGAGCATAAACAAGTCCATGCTATGCCTATCTAGCTTCAGTTACACAATACAGCCCTGCGTTGCAAAGGTATTTCTCTAACCCATCCACAAGCGCAGCGCGTGGCACTCCGAGAGCCATTCTAGCGTCGCCCCGTCGCCAAGATCATTGTGGCCAAGCGAAAGTTGCAGCAGCTGTAGCAGAACAGCATGGGCCAACAGGAAAGGTCAAGGTGGCTCCTAGTTACTCGAATGTTCTTGGCAGTTTGCTGACACTAAAGTGTTGTTTGACTTCAGTGACATTGAGCCCTACGTCCTACTAAGTTGAAAGTATAGCAGGATAAACCAGAGCTCGCCAGTTCACTTTTTTCTATATTTTTTCTCGAGCGCGATATGCGTGTCCAAGAGTGACGACAGTCAGCGAGAAGAAGATCTGTGCTGAGATCTGTGCTTGGCCAGCTTTGGAGTTGTAACGTCCAAGCAGTTGGCATGTTGGTTCCATGATGACTGCTGATGGTCTTCAGTCAGGACTCCATGATGCAGCCGCGTGTATCTTGGAAGTCTTGCAGGCGCCCGTCCTGGAGCTTGAGGACGTACTTGCACCACGATGGCATGGAATGCGGCATGGAAGAGTCGCTGGGTCACTTATCCAGCCTAGTTCTGTCGAGGACTTGACTGGAACTACGCCGCTGCTACATGCTGCGCATTCGAAAGTGAAGCCGTGGCCTGAGGAAGCAAGCGATTGCAGGATGTGATACAGCCTTCCATGAGACAAGCTTGGGGTTTTGTGCACGTGTGTTTGTCGCTTCTGTCCTGCGAAAGCAGCAGCATGTCTGGAACAATGAAGAAAGACTGAGCGTCGGAGTTTGGCGATGTTTCGCTGGCCAAGACAAGGCGCCTTCTTGCAGAATAGTCCATACCGGCATTGAATAGTGAAGCGGCGCATGCTGATGCATAGCCTTGATCCATGATGCATATTGTATCATACCTTGTGTGCTCTACCGACTGTGTTGTTCTGCAAGTGGGTTCTTGAGTAGACACGGGAAGCCCATGTTCCACAACTGCGCTGCCTAGGTCAATCGTTCGCATGTTGCGCGCGAAGAAAGACCATGCACCCGATACGTCGTGGCGGACTCGAAGTCATCATTGTCAATGTCTGGCTATTTGCGAGGGTCATGTCATCACATGCAGGTACCTTCCAATCCAGGCTGAGCCCGAGGCTGGGTCAGCGGGGTACCAAAGTGCACAAAGCATGTTCGTCTTCTGTGCACTTAAGGTCGAGGAGCCAGAGGGGGCTCATGTTGAGCACGAGGCCCCATAGAGACGGCGCCAGAGTCAGAAAAAGCTGGGGAAGCCTTTCCAACAGCCTGCCATTCCTCTTTCCAACAGGAGCCACCAACTCCGACACCTCGCTCGAAGTGCCCGACAGGGCACGAGCTGGTGGCTTTCGAAACCCCGGAAGACGGCTTCCTTTGTTCCTTGTGCGATTGTGCCAGCCTCAGGCAATGCCACAGCAAGACACAGATCTGCATACTGGAATGCGGCTCTGACCCTGAGTATTCAAATAGTAAAGCCCACACTATAAGCACTTGTACCTGCGATTGTGAGTTCTTTTTTAGGAAGGCCGCTGCTCGGGGGCAGGGGAAGTCCACACCGCTATCCTTTTCTCGGCTTGAAGCTTTTCTGCCTTCGTGGGTGGAATCCACTTCCTTAAGGCCAGAAGCCGTTTTTATTTGGGTCCGAAGCTTTACGGTAGTCCTGGACTGAATCCAAGTCGACTGAGGCCAGAAGCCTTTACACCTCAAAAACCTTCCCAAGCCTTGGGCCAGAAGCCTCGGAAGGGCGGCCAAGTTTCTGCCATCCTGGGCTCGACACTCCCGAACCAAGAAAGCGGCTCACGAAATGTGCTTAGAGTGTGCTTAGGGTGCCTCGTTTTTCATCAGGAAGTTGTGCAACAAATAACTTTTCAGCTGGATCGCGGTTCCTGAAAGTCAAGGTCCGTTAAAGCCTGAAGCCTTGAGCGGCCTGAAGCTTCCCTACTTTCCTGGGTGTTATCACCAGATGTGTATATACATATGTACATATAAATACATATCTTGTGTATATGTATGTATGGACACGTCCGTGTATACATTATCTCCTCGACAAAACTTGGCAAAAGAGCGGTCCAGTGATCCAGGAAACTGAGTTCGACTGGATGAAAACTTCATCATACTTTACACAACACTCGTGAATGTTCTTGTGGTTCTTGTGGGTTGCTTGATTGCCACGGCCTTGTTGCTGCATACGGGCTTGTCGGGGTATCCGCGGCTAGGACTGTCGAATGTAATCGTGATATACACACGGGCAGTCTCAACGACTGGCTGGCATTGGCTGGCTGTCCTTGCACTCAAACCATCAACGGCACCAGACACTCCCGCTGTCTACTTGGATGTCTTGGTGTTGTCCCTTGTGCAGGGCCAAGTTTAATGATGACTTTAGGGCACAAGAGGGTTAGGTTGCTGGCCGCTGCCCCTTGGTTTCAGCTGTCGAGAAGGGCCTGGATGTTGCCCGGGATCTGTCAAATGTCGGCTTTGACGCTGTCCTCTTCGCGCGTTGCAGGGGATCAGCGGCGAATGCCTGCGACTCACCAGCTCGGATACCAAACAACACCTTGTAACAACAAAGGGCTATTGCGAGACATTGCGAGATTCTCGCTGGCATGAGGCTCCTGTCAAAACTTCTCCCCTCGACGTTGCTTGTGCGTGGTGGCTGTTTTGTGGCAACGTAGCCGACACAGCCTCATTCATGACGCGGGCACACGGCAAGTGATCCTCGCTGCCATTGATTGCATTGGACCTCTGTATCGGGCTCGTGAAATAAGTCGCCCTGGCTGCCCTAGCTGAACGTCATTGAGGGCGCTCTGTTTTCAAGCTTTGGCTTATGCAGCACGGTGTGTCATGGTGCAGCTTTCTGCATGCAGCATGCCATCTCTGTCATTGCCATGTTGCTCACGCATGTTATGCGGTTGCGCAAGTGCACTCTGCGTGTCAGCTGCCCTCAGCTGCCCTCGGCTTTTCGCAATCCCCATTTGTTGGCTGCTCGGCGCTACGCCCGCGAAATGCTGATTGGAGATAAGCGCCGCTTGCTTCGGACACCTCAAGTTTAGAAAGAGCGCATCATCCCGGACCGTGGACGAACAAAAAAGCCTGGAGGCTAGGATTTGTGCACTTGAAAGTTGATGGGGGGGCTGGATCGAACACGACACACAGAAGCATGTGTGGCAGTTATCCTCTTCCAATTTCGAGAATTGTCGAACAGGGATGTGGTCCCCAAGCTGCGTGCAGGAGGTGGACCTGAAAGTCGCCAGTTGTGTTCACTCACATTTCTGGGGCGTCATGTACTTTATGTTGGTATATTCAGGGGGTCTAATGAACCTGCTTAATTGCTGCGCTGTACACATCCATGTCATGCCATGTGCTTCATGTCCTCGTGCCCCGAAAATTGTCATCTTGAGTGAAGCACCTTGAGGCGAATTCCCAAGCAACACGACTTTATATGGCTGCCGGCCCTGCGACTACGATCTCTGCCGCGATTGTCTGACTAGTGTGGCAGTGCATTCTACAGGATACAAGGACTGGCACCACTCAGCTTTGAGGACGCCAGGTCGCTGAAGAAGCACAGCGTTGGCAGTGTTACTCGTTGCACTCTCGTAGCAGTTTGGCAGGACTTCGTGGCAATGTTTCCAGAGCTGCAGGCAGCGCCAGCACACGTGATGCAAAATACCTCGGTGAACCTGCTGGCTTTTGTTTTTTTTTGCATAGTATGCCGCTCCTTTGTGGATTTGTGGAGGGCTTCCGTGAGACGGCCAGATCTGGCGAATCGGTGTTGGCAGGAGAGGTTCCCTGCTAAATTTGGGATTTTGGGATTTGCCGACTTGCTGATCGCATTCTGCGGATGTTTGTACTGCGCGGGATAGTCAACCGATGCCAATTGCCTGACAGGTCGCTGATGTTTCAGAGCACGCTTCGGAGACGGATTCCTTTGCATCCCAGCAGGTCTTTGCAGAGGAAGCACAGGACGGTTGATGCATGTTCGGAATTTTCAAGATGTTTCAGTCTCCTGGACTGTCTGGGGTTGCTGCGTGGTGCGCCGGCAGGCTGGAATTGAAGAAGAGGATGGCTGTCTGTTCTGGCAAGTCCTGCTCAAAAAGGATCCCATGCATTCTCCGATTGGGGAACGCTTCGGACATTTCCTGTGATGTGCTCCTGCAGCTGTCAGGAAAGCGATCAAGACAAGTTTGGATTTGCTCAGG